CAGCTCGTCCCCAGGGCTCCCGCTTCCACAGCTCCCGGCGGGAGAGGTACGGCAACGTGTTCAAGACCCACCTCCTGGGCCGGCCAGTGGTGCGGGTGACAGGCGCTGAGAACATCCGCAAGATCCTGCTGGGTGAGCACACGCTGGTCAGCACGCAGTGGCCCCAGAGCACCCAGATCATCCTGGGCTCCCACACGCTGCTCAGCTCCATCGGTGACCTGCACCGCCAGCGCCGCAAGGTGAGCCTTGCGGCCACCCTGACGGGACACACAGCTCAGGCGGCACCTCCTGCCCAGGCTTGGGCCTTGGTGGCACATGGGGCTCCACGCTTAACTGCCTGCCTCTGTTTCCCCCCTTGTCATCCTAGATCCTGGCCAGAGTGTTCAGCCGTGCCGCCCTGGAGAGCTACCTGCCACGGATCCAGAAGGTTGTGAGCTGGGAGCTGCGGGGCTGGTGCATGGAGCCAGGCTCCATCGCAGTTTATTCCTCCGCTAAAACCTTAACTTTCCGCATTGCAGCTCAGATTCTGCTGGGACTCCGCCTGGAGGAAAAGCAGTTCAAGGACCTGGCCAAAACTTTTGAACAGCTGGTAGAGAACCTCTTCTCCCTGCCCCTCAACATACCCTTCAGTGGGCTGCGCAAGGTATTGCTGCCTGCGCCGTTCCCTCTGCCTGGGGGTGGGGGCCTGGGCCCCAGCAGCACAGATCCCTTGTCCCCAGGCCCACCAAAGGGCACTTCCAACGGGCCAGGACACCTGCAGCACCCTGTTCCGGGTCTGAGGGCCTGGTGTCTTGCTCACCCCAGACGTTTCCCCTTCTCTCTGCGCTTCTCACCTGCTCCTGGTTGGCTTCTAACACCTCCGGGTGCTGGCTCCATCTCATTGTACAGCACAGGGCGCCTCTCCTCCCTCACCCCATATGTTGCCTCTGCTGGGTCTGGTTAGTCCGTCATGTCTGGTTCTGTCCTATCTCATTGCACCTAGACTCATGTCAGCCCATGGCAGAGGGGTCTGTGGGCATGAGTACGAAAGCAGGTGGGCACGGCGCACCTCAGGTCAGCACTCCCTGTGCTCTTTGGGGCAGGCTGAGGACTTGGGACCTTCGTACGGTCCTTGGTCCCTTGTCCATCAGGTCTCTCAGCAACTGAGAGACAGTGAAGGCTCCTGGAAGGGAATGTGACAGAGGGACCATCTCCTCTACCTCTTTCAACCCGCGGTTTTTTCCCTGCTGTCCTGTCCCTCTTTGGCTGCCTCACCACATGCCAGGTTGAGGTATCAGTCCCGTGTCCCACCCCTCTTGTCCCATTTCAGTCTGTGTTCCCTCCTCTGGTGTCGGGTTCTCCACCCTACCGCAGCTCAAGTCTCCTGGTCTTTTGAGGCAGGTCTTGCCCAATCTCTTTTTTTCCACTGTAAGCTCTGCCCTGCTGGATAACCTTACCCAGCCAGTCCCAGTTCTCCCCCAGCCTCCACCAGTTCAAAGCTCTGTTTTCCCTGCCCAGTTTCCCTTTGCAGGTTGGCACCAGTGGGAGTTTTCACTCCCCAACCTATCCCTCCCTGCATTCTCCCAGGTCAGCCTCAGCCTGGCTGGCCCCAAACCAACCTCTTCAACTTGTGTTTAGGTCCCCTTGTCTTTCCCCTCGCTCCCTGCACTGTTTCCTCTGTCCAATCCTTCCCACCTCAACTCTCAGCCTTTGTATCTTCTTCCCAACATGTTGTCATGGCCATTCTTCCCAAATCTCTGGTCTTGGGTTTTGCTGGAAGAACTTTGATACAGAGCCACACACTCCCTGACTCCATCCATCCTATTCTGCAAAGAGATTGCTTCTCACTTGTCTTGCTGAGATCTTACCTAAATGTTTTTGCTACACAGGAGTGCAACGCAACTGGAGATGATCTGGGTGTGATTCATGTGTCTTTATCTACTCTACCCTGGTAGAGCCACTCATTTGTTCCTGTGTCAGATATGCCTTGCTGCTTGGACTCGGTTTTATTAAATTACCTCTTTTTGTCCCTTTGGATGAGCTTCTTTTGAACCTGACAAGACCATGGGTTTGTTCAGCGCAGATGCCTCTGAACTTGGTACCTCTTGCCTCAGTACCATGGGTTTACTGCTGTCACTCCTCTCAGGGTTTTTCTTAGGACTTGTCGTGTTTGATTCACAACAGCAAGGCAACAGAATTTGCAGCAGTTCTCCCCAGACTGCTGCCTCTTGAAAGGCTCTGGGGCTGGGCAACAGATTAAACAGTTCTTGCTGTTGCAGATCCTGGGATGCAGGATTGCTCCATCTGGGGTCCCTGTCTCTCTGGAGAGGGGGTTTCCTAAGGCTCTCCTGAATCCTGTCTGCCTCCTGCAGGGAATCAAAGCACGGGACATGCTCCATGAGTTTATGGAGAAGGCTATACAGGAAAAACTGCAGAGAAACAACTCAGAAGATCACAGTGATGCTCTGGATTTCATAATAAACAGTGCCAAGGAGCACGGCAAAGAATTCACCATGCAGGAGCTAAAGGTAAGAACCACCTCTTACAGCGTCCCTTGTGACTCAGTGGCCGTTTGAGAGACCTGGGCTGAGGGGCAGGGATTGTGTGGGGACCCACCACCAGCTGCTGCCACCCGCTCTCCTGTTACCAGCTCTGAGGACACCATCCCCAGCGCAAGTGAGAAAGCCTGGGCTCAGCATGCTCATGTGCTCGAGCAGGATTATGTCTCTTTGCATTAGAAGAGAGCTGGTATTTACAAAGGGAGTAAGTACCTCTTTGCTGCCAGGCTTCAGCCCAAGTTAGGATGCTGTTGGGGTTATGAGGACGTGCTGAGGCTCTGTATGTCAGTGTGCACTTCATAACCTCCAAGGTACTATCTTGGAAATTTTTAGAGCTAGTCATGTGCTTCTCAAAACTCCCCCAGCCTCTAGCACAGTGTGGCATGTAGATCATGTCCTTGGGGCTGCGAGCCCAGAAGTCTCTGAGACAATACATCAAAATGGGTCCAGGGATGGAATGATGGATTCCGGGTCATTCCCTATCACCTTCTCGTTAATTAGATCATCTAGCTTGTGGGTTGCTATGATGCAATGTGATGCACCACTGTGACTTAGGGATGAACCTGGCAGTCCTTACTGAGCCAAAACTTCCAACTGAATGCGAAGAGTATTTTGCCAAAGATCTTGGGAAAAAATTGTCATTAGTACTGCATCATTCATAGCTCCAGGTCACTTGGTGTCAGTGCATGACAGATGACACTGCATTTACATAACAAGTTTTGAAGCAGTTTTGCATGGGTACAGCAGCTGAATATAATTTAAAAGTAATGAACATACATAATTTTACCTTTTATTTAGGCATTTGAGGAGAACTATCTAAAGACTAATGTTTTATACGTATTTTGTAAAAGTGTAATCTCTAAATCTAAAATATTTGAAAGACCTTACAGTGACTATTACATACAATTAGAACAAGCATATATTCTTAAGGTAATTCTATTATAATTATTTATTATATTAT